AACTCCCACAGGAGTTGAGAGAAGAACAGTCCAGTAACTAAGCTATAACACAAATCACTTCTGCTACCACCAATAATAATAATGATAAAGGAAACAACAAGGGAAGAGAATACAACTGCTCACCACCCGCTGACCGATACCCAGCCTGACAGAGCTGTGACCAAGCCCTTTGGGGTAACTGCCCCCAGTTTATGTGCTGGGCATGACGTGCTGTGGTATGGAATACCTCTTTGGCTAGTTTGGGTCAGGTGTCCTGTCTCTGCTTCCTCCCCGCTTCCCCTCCACACTGGCAGAGCATGAGACTCACAAAGTCCTTGGTCAGACTAAACACTTGAGCAGTAACTAAAAACATCGGTGTTATCAGCGCTGTTCCCAGGCCAAAAGTCAAAAACACAGAGCTGCACCAGCTACTAAGAAGGAGAAAAACGACTGCTACTGCTGAACCCAGGACAACCTTCCTTCAAATATTTAAACTGCTCTGGATAGCTCAGTTTGAAATCTTAAACAGATTATAACAATAAATCTCCTTGTAAATACACTGTAAGAAGGACATTCGGATTATCCTGAAGCCTCAATATTCCTCCTCAAGCAGTTGCACCATTGCTTGTCTAGGGTCATGGAACTGATAGATTTTGTTCACTGACAGCATACTCATTTAACCTTGTATTCTAGTCCAGTGAGATGGCCAAAGAGAACAAAGCCGTGCAAATGGTTTATAAATGTGGTTGTATATGAGCATCCATAACTGAGGGGAATATACCACTTTGGCTCTTCTGGTACCATTAATGCAGAACAACATTTTGCAGACAGGTTTAGGCATATAATATAGCTTCCCAGAGGAAGCTTAAAGCTTGTTAACTAAAATCTAGAGAAGTATGAAAAAACAAACCCTATTAGATACAAACACACCAGCAATAGGCTGGAGTAAATCACCTTCAGGACAAGTGCCTTATAGCTGTGGATGTCAGTGCCATAGAGGCAGAGAGTGAGCTATTGTCATGCAAACTATTTAGTTGAGCTAAACTACAGAGCAGGACACAGTCCCAGGCGAATCAGGAGACTGAAAAGTGCAAAGACTCTTCATATAAAATAGGAATAAGTGTCACACAAGCCGGTGTTTGTAGGAGGTCTCTCTCTGGGGACATGGCTTGAACTAGATAGATTCAATCAACTAAAAGCTATGCCTGTAATTTACATTCTCTGTTTTGTATTGCACTGTGGTACTAGTAACAGTAGCTGCACAGAGGCTTTATACAAAAACAATCCTTTCTTTTGCTGAGGCTTGTCTACACAGGGAAATTCAGTAGTATCTTTATATCAGCATAACTCCCCTTGTGGACACTCTTCCTTCAGAATAATTCCAGGATAATTACAATTATGCTGTATAATTATGCTGCATAATTATAAAAGTGAATTTATTGGTGTAAACAATCTCTTACTCTTTAGCTGAATCTACTTGAACATTTGGAATTGTCATTGAGTTTGCTGTTGTTTACAGCCTTCTCCAAACTTGTCAGTTATATGCATTCCCAATCCATTAGCTGTTATTTATCCAAGCTAAACATATTTTATTGCTCTAATTTGTTCTCAGATCAGTCCCTCCAGCCTCATATCTCTATCTGCCATTGAAAGCACCATAGTTTTCTTAGGTCAGTCTCAACTTCAAAAGCAGGACTTGGAAACATGGCACATGTGCCCAGATGCTTTTAAGTGGCTACAAATTTGATTTGCTCATTATCAGGACCTATAAAAGAAATGTCCTTCTATTGTTTGCTCAACAACTGGGAGATAAATTCTTCTTACAATTTTACATGGTCTTACCACCATCCTCACTTTTACTCAGCCCTGTTGCAGTTAGCTGAGGAGTCAGAGGCCACATCAAGTGAGGTGTTCTAAGCCTGTGGGCTGCATCAGAGGATAAAAGAATCCATCACTGCTCCACATTAGCATTGTTGTCCTCATCAGCAACCATCAGTTTCAGGAGCAGAGCAAGATGTGTGGTGCAAGGCCACCAGCATTTTCAGTCTTGTTTCCCTAGAGGTCTGAGAAGCAGTTAATCATCACAGGGTATACTGTTAGACAGATCAGCATTTCAGTATTTAGAGAATGTTTCTATATTACCTTGTTTGGCAGCTATTTTATTCAGTAGGGTGCAGCAGCCTAGTATTCTTCATTTCATTATTTAACAATATCATTCTTCTAGCTTTTCCCAGTGGTGGAAATAAAATGTAGAAGTTTCTTGAAACTCCTATTCTTCCTTTGTTCAAGTGTGAGCACAACTCATACAGACATTTTACAGTCTCAAACATCTGAAAGAATTACACTTTAAAAAAATTAGGATCCTTTTGTATTCAAATGCCTACTCTTGGAGTTGATATGGATGGAGAGACCATCTATATTACTATTGCTTAATTAAGCTATCACTGTGGTTGGAGATGTATCGCAGAAAAAGAGCAACACTGGATCAAAGGCTGAATGGGTGGATGATACTGTGATTCACACCGGGCACACAGTGCTGGGGCTGGTTCTGTACCACAGCCTCTTGGACAGGATTGCAGAGCAGTGATGCACCAGGGCTGACGCAAGGCAGCACAGTCAGGGCACAGACAGCATTCGCACAAGGGAACAAAAGAAAGGTAGATTTTTTAGAAACTGAAAAACAGAACAGTAAGAAAGAAACAGAAGAAAAAGAAAAAAAAAAGAGCAGAAAGGGTAATTTCCACTGAACATAGAATCACAGAATCATAGAATCATAGAATCATAATAGTTAGGGTTTGAAAGGACCTTAAGATCACCAAGGTCCAATCCCCCTGCCATGGACAGGGACACCTCACACTAAACCATATCACCCAAGGCCTCATCCAACCTTATCTTGAACACTGCCAGGGACATGCTTGTACATTTCCATTGGTGAGAAAACAGTTCAGGAAATAACATACATATCTTTTATGTTAAAAAAAAAAAAAAAAAGATCTTTTTCAAGGTTTGGTTTAGGATAATACAAGGAAGGTAGACAGCAACCTATTTTTGCCTTAATAAGTATCTATATATCATGTTCAGAAAAGTTCATTAGTAACTTCAATTTCAATTGGACTTGGTAAAAGAGCTTTGTTCAACTAGCTTCAAAGATCCTGCTAATACAAAAATTCCAGCAATAATAGAAAAACTATATATATGAAAAGCTAGTTGTGATCATGTCTCTAACTTCTTCATGGACTGGATTGTGTTGCAGAAATCAAAGTAATAAAAAACTTGCCAAATAGGACTGAATAATTAAATTTTAAATAAACTGTAATTTTCAATTGTATTATAATTCTAATAAATGAGTGAAAACATTGGTAGGCAGGAAAGTAAATGTTAATATAGAAATTTAAGGACAATAAGAGAAAGCACTAATACTGATTAGGATGATTATGATGATTATAACTTCCAGTACGTAAAATCACAATGAAAATTATCCAGCCTAGTATGCTCTCACAAGTTATACATTCACTTAGGCACTGGGAAAAATGTTTTCATGCCATAAACTATCTTAGATGGTTCATGAAGTTATGGTAGAACGTATAAAGAAATAAGGAAAGGAGTAAAACAACCGGATTGGAAGGACAACGCTCTATGCAGAGAAAAAGTTTCCTGATGCAAAAAGATCTTCCAAGATCACCAAACAGGAACACAGGAAAGTAAAAGATATATCGAGGGGACAGGAAAATATATTGATATAAATCATTCAGCAGTAACACTGGGCAGAATGGTGACTTCAGTTGCAGTCAATATTAAGATTTATTGATCTGAGAGATAAATATTGACCAAGGTGATGCCAAAGTCAATATTTAACTTCAGGGACCATAAATCTTAATAGTAACTGTAAAGAGCAGTCAGTACCATCTATGTTTGATATATATTTTATTGCCTTTTACAAGGGTATAAAAGGTTTTTTAAAAGAGAAGCTGTTTCCTCATTTCAAAAAGCTCCTTGCCTTGCCAAAGCAATCCAGATGTATATGCTTGCCTTTTCAAAGATCTTCTAATTATTGGGGTGCTTTCAAAATTGCACAAATAATTTGACTCATAAAGAAGCTTCCTATTTAATGAAACAAAAGCAAAACAGAAAAAAAACCAACAGTTAACACCATCTTTTGTAGATTTATGTTAGCTATGAAACGCTGACGTACTTGCAACATGTTGCTAGATAAAGCTAGTTAACAACTTAGGATAAAATCAACAATAAATTACGTAAGGTATTTGCAGTTCTCTAGGGTTTTCTTAATTTTTCACTGCTACACCTCAACGCATCAACTGGGTTCATAAAATGTTCATGTACATAAGAATATATAAGAGTATATGAGTTATATTTACAAATTATTACAGTGTATGTACTACTGTACTGTACCAGTATCTTGCTGGATTTAGTATTAATATTTCTATTGCATCTGCTTCTAATACATGTGAGCCATTTCCTAACCAAGGGTTAACAAAATAGATCTTTTTATCACTTGCTACTTCCTTCCTCTTTGTTTATATTAAAAAGATGGCACTGACAACCACAGCTAAGGTAAAGTTAATAAATACAAATGGTTAAGCAAAAACCCCCATGCGGTAGCAAAATATAATTATTTAACAGTCTTGGAGCCTTCCTAACCATACCAATGTTCTCCCTAATGTTCACACAGATCTTTGTTATTACACTAGATGACATTTGTTTTCAAAAGCCACTGCATACTTGACATCAACATTTCTGACACATGAAAAACTCATTTATAATAAAGATTACTCGGACACTACTACAGTGAATGCACCCAACTCTTCCCCCAAAAAAACCAACATTTCTAGACCATTTTATAGGAACTAACCCAGCACAAGGGAATGATTTGACACAATTTTAATAGGGCTTTAATTCTATGAAGAGGAGGCTTTATGACGTTAAGAAGCATGACAGTTAACCTTAAATGGTTTATTCGTGTCAGCACAGTCCAAAGACGTAATTAGTTGTAATGTACTTACCCTCAGAGTCAGGGGTTTAGAGAGGGAAGAGCCACTGGTGGCATCGCCCAGCTCCTGCTACTCACTCCCCAGGGGGCCGCAGTGTCTAGTTTTATGTCTCAGGGTCCTGACAGACCATGGCCTTCCTTTCCAAAAGTCTCTGTACATTACCAAAACGATTTACGGGGAGATTTTTCATGCCTGAGAAACAGTGAACACACATAGTTATATCTAAATCAATGCTGAGTTCTGTGCTTAGGCTTCAGCAGTGCCTCAGGTTTAACACTTGTTAACAGGCACTTGTTAAAAGGTAGTAGACACTTGACAGATTTAGTCTGATCACTTCCATGACCCAGTGAGTTTTTGACTGTCAAAAGAAAACAATCAGAGTTGTCTGGAAAGGAATTCCTTTCTCAGGCTCTCTTTCATGAATTCCCCAGTCTTCAGAACTGGGCAATTAAGTGGCTGAGTTTGATTGATACTACTTCTCTTGTTTTAGGATGTGGCAAGGCTAGAAACTGTGGTAATTAGTGAACACAGTAAAAAATCATGTCCATTTCCCCTTTACCAGAGCAAACACTGATACAGGGAGCACTCACGTTCAAAGTTTACATGTAGCTGACAGAGTGCTATCCAAACTTTATTATAAGGGGAAGTCAAGTATTTAGCTCATTTTAAGTATCTCCAATTGTAAACAGCAGCGATAATACTGGGAAAGAATGTACTTCACAGGAGAGATTACTCTAGACAGGATAAGACTCTGAGATAACATTTTAAGAGAAGCAAACTAAGGGGTGGTGTCCTTTATCTATTACATCTCAGTAATCTGGCTTTTGAAATGTTCAGTAGGTAGCGGTATTTACAAACTGTAACTTGCAATGCTACATGATAAAGAAAGAGACAGTCACCTCAGTTTGGGGGGGGGGGGTGGAACCTACTGCGTACTTTGTGTTTCCACTACATGTAATCATCATCCAGCATTTGGCTGGGTGTAATAACTTGGTGTCTCTTTGTTCTCCTGTTACAGGATGAAGACTTTAATCAGTTTTGTCAGAACGTTTGCTCAGTTAATCTCCTAGCAATGTGTGATGAATAATATGCCTATTGACTGTCTCAGCAGTTGGTGGGTTCTCCACCCTCACCCCATAGTGAGAAGCATCTAGTTTCTGCTGGCTGCTCATTTTCCTGTAGAAGAGGAGCACCGGCTCTCTCTGCAGCCCCCAGCAGTCACATCCCACCCAGCCCACCCCCTTTAGCCTCACACCCCTCTTCTCCTCTTCCCCTCTGGAATCTGGAAAATGCTGCCTGCCCACCCGCCCACACCAGGGTTTGTCCTTGGATAATTACTCTGTCCCAGTCACCTTGAGCTCTCATACCACAGAGGGCTCTCTCTCTGCTGAGCTTTGTATCTTTATTTTCATACCAAGAAAAACAGATTTAGAGTGAACAGGAAAGTTTTGGCAACAACTGTCATCACATTATCAACACAGTGCTAGTGATGAATAGCTCTGGAGCAAAGAAAATGCCATAGGAAGCTCTATTTCATTGGGACAAAAATATAAGGGCAGATCTGAGAGCTTCCTTCATCACTGACTCTGAAGGAGAAAAAGAAGGAAAAGCCCTAATGAAAATAGATCTCAATTGCCAGCAGTTGTGAACTGACTTCACAGAAAAAAATTCTAGGCCTCTATCCTGCATGTGACTGCACACAACTGTGGGGCCTGCCTGTGCCAGCTCTTTGTACAGCAGAGAACAGTGGTGAAGTTTCTTACAAGCAGCCCTGATTTTCACATGCCTGGTAACAAAAGCCTAACAGAACACCTCTGTAAAGTAGATGGTTTCAGCTCCCAACCCATGACAACATTTCTGAAAGTTCCTAAAGTAGGACAGAAATAAAATCCATTGCACAAAAAGCAGTGTAGGTATTTAGGACAGTGATATACTTTCAGTTATAAAGGCTGACAGAGATACATTGTGCATTAGGAAAGACACAGAAAATGCTACATAAAATCTGGATTTGAGGAAATATAAATGAAAAGCTTCATGACTTCCAGCAGCAGGGTCTTTTCAGACCTATCTGAAATGCACAACTGTGCTACCTGTGAATAAGTGGAGATGCACTGGTAATGTAATATTGTACTTGTTATAGAACTTCTTTCATGCACAGGTAAATCTGCCTTAGATTAAGCTCCAGCTCTGACAGCCCCATTTCACCAGAGTGACATATGTGAAGGTAGGGTTCTTTTATTTATTATGCAATTTGGATTCAGCATCTCCCTCACTTTTTAAGGGTGTTTATTTTTCAAACTAATGTTTCCCACCTAAATAAAAGTAGCTACAGCCTCTGCTTGTATGCTTCTGGTTTATTCTCTGCCTTGTCCCACAAAGACACAGCAATTGTATCTGCTCCTCTGAGCTAAGTGATACCAAAAGCCAGCTGCTTTCTGTGTGCTGAACCCCACCCAGCTCCTGCAGGCAACCTAAACTCAGCCAGAATTTGTATTTGTCTATTTGTTCACTCCCTCGCTGTAAGATGGCTCTGCTCTTCCAGTTTTGGTAATGGATCTCTTAGACATCTTGACTGCCCAACCAGGAGGACTGATGGGATAGACAGAGCCAGGCATAGCATGTCAGGTCCCAGCACATAGGAGTTAGTGTATCCCCAAATGTGTCCTTGCACATTTACATGCAGGTCTTACCCAGTGCTTTCCCCAAAGGCATAGCAACTGAATCATCTCAGAGCTCACAGTAAGCAAACAGATGGTCAGCAAGAATATGATACATGGTGATATCTGTGCATAAAAGTATGCATATTTGTGTGTGTGAATGCCTCCTTGGAGTGAGTATATAGAGTTTCACTACCTTTTCTAGGATTCTGGGAAGTTGTTTTCAGCTTGAATTTAGTGTCAAATAAATCTGGTTTATAGGTCACTTGTGATAGCTTGTGACCAAGTTGCATAGCACTGTGAAGCAGATACCATCGTATATTATATCTTAAAAAAAATCCTGATGCAAAATAAGGAAAAATTTCAGTTCCTTTGATATCCTGTTTTGAAGCTCTTGAAACTGAGAAACTTGCTAAAATAAATGAAATGCTGCATAAAGCACCTGACAAAAGTGAATTATGCTAATAGAATGGGTATGTGTAGCTTACCATAGATGCATGTCTCGTGGTCTCTGTTTACACCTCGGCATCTCATTCACACATTCTTGAGAGAAGGATCAATCAAAAGTGGGGTGCTAAATATCATGCCTTTAGTTAACTAGATTTCAGAAGTTTCTATGAGTAAAAATAAAAAACAACAGGGAAGATGTGCATTGTATGGATTTTCCTTTTCAAATTAAAAAGATTCTGCCCTCCAAGTATCTGTGCTTTCTTCTCAGTCCTTTCCTCTCTTTTCTGAATATCTCTTTCTCATTGTTTCTTTCCAATAAGCACCATGCATGCAAGCTTCTTAACCACCAGGTAATTTGCCATTTCATCAGCTCCGTCTAAATCAGCTAAACATTTTCTCAGAGATGTTTTAAAGCACTCTGCAGAACTGTCTTGTTGAATTTTCTTATCAAAAAGCATCACATTGCCACCTAAGTGTTAACAGGAAAGTTTTGGTGTGGGAAAGTCATGTGAGAGGACAGGCACAAGGGAAGAAGCAAGCATGCACCTTTTCAGCAGGACACATGAGGCGAACTAACAGTTCCTTATTTCCAGCAGTGCCTTCACAATCTAAGTCTTTCCCCTGTATTTGCAGATCAGGTACCACACTCGGGCTCACAGGCCCCTCTCAGAGTTCCCTCCACTAGGCTGAGTCTGGCAAATAGATGAAGACAAAGGGAAATTCAGAGGGGCTGCAAAGGCTATGCCTAAGGCGCTTGTTTTTGCCTCAAGTTCCTTATGCCTAAATCTGCCCTTAGTACCTTTTCTCTCTGAAGCTTGCTCACTAAAGCTAAAAGAACCAGAGCTTTTGGTAAAGACTTTATCTCTCTGAAGCTCTGTAGTCAGGAGTCATTTTCAGGCACACGTGACAATCTTTTCCAAACAGATCAGAATTTAGCATTTTAGAATCTGACTCCTGGATTGAAAAAGCAAGGCTTCTGTATTTTCTTTTCAGACCCAACTGCCGCGATTCCAGTATACTTTGCAGCAGAGACCTTATTGATGGTTCTGCAGTTATGATATTTGGATAGACGCCACTTCTTTTCTTGTAAGTCAACAATGTTTACAACTAGTCATTGTTTTTGATATATCTCAGGGTGATACCCTTTTAAACCAACAGTTTCAGATCAGTCCTCTATGCTAATTCCAGTGTGTCAATGTCAGTAACTGATCCCATCCCCTGCTCTAAGGAGAAAACTTACTCCTTCAGTCTTAGAAGATCACAGCAATACGGTGTATAAGCAAACTGTCATATATGGGAAAAAAGGGGAAAAAAAGCACAGATGCTGTCTGTATTTTCCACAGACTCTCATGAGGTTTCCCTTCTTCCTTTTCTGCCTTGATTCTACAGGCTTCTCCAGACTCTTTATCTGAGGTAAGCGATTGTCAGTTTATTCAAGGCACTTATCATATTTGCAAGAACTAGCACAGACCTCTCACATATTTGGTCTAGGTTTGATAAGAACATTTGCTCTTTATACATTAGCCCCACTTAAAGCCTGTCAAAAACACCAAGTGGTCCTGCAATCTATCATCTATTCTGCAGTGCAAGTGAATCTGGGTTGTTAGTTTCATCAGCCCTTTAAGACTATTGCTGCCCCAAAACAGACACAGCTGGGAGAGGTCAGAAAATACATACATCATGTGACATGATCTGGCCTGTAGAAAGCAGCTTTGTGCTCCTCCATCACTGGAAGGTGCCCTGAAGACAGCAGAGGTAAATAATCAAGGCAGATGCTATAGCCCCATAGGCTATATCTGTACCAGTAAAACGATGCTGGGCAGGCTTAGGCACTGAGCCTCCATCATCTCCACTATTAAATTTCTAGCATGGTTTTGACCCTGGCCAACTTGCACGCACCCAGGCAATCTTCAGGAAGACTTCCCAAGCAAGCACAGGCCAAGGACTCTTCCCAACAGAGTGCCTTAATGCAACCACCTCATTCTCACAGGGTAAAAACGTTTAACCGTGCAGATGAGGGCAGTTCAGTGCCAGGTGACTTCAGTGGCAGAGAGCTGGACATGTTTGATTTACTAATATAGATG